CGCGCCAGAATCTGCGGTTGTGTTCATTAATATTTCGATCACTTCCATCCAGTATTCACTAAGTCTTTCGGTTGATGGTTGAGCTGAAAGGTGATCAGATAGTTTCGCTTCGAGGGCCGATTGGCAACCATTGTTAACACTGTATTGTGCGCCTCCGTTTCCGGTGACCTTCTTGCAGTTGTTTACCAGGTGTAAGAAAAATCTGGCTCGTAACAAAGAGTGCTCCATGTCCAAAGGTGTTAATCAGTTTCAATTTCAAAGGGTACAACCATAAACTGTGTGATTTCGTGTGCCTGTTTTGGTTGCCCATTTGGATGAAGCGGTACAAGTCAGACAAGAAAAAACAAAGTAGAGCCGACTAGAAAGTGGAGAATTTCAGTGGACTAATGTTGCAAAGAAATTAAGATGCACAACACTCAGTCATATCACTCTATGTCTCTAACCATCCGTTACGATCATCTCGAGGTCCCCATCCAGGGAGCCTGACGGGACTTATGTGGCTCAAACTCCTGGTCAGGGTTTTCATACCCTCATGCCAGGTCTTAGCTGGACCACCCTGGTCTTTTCTTCACCCCATACCTGCCTCGGCAAACATCGCTCACCGTGGCAACCTATTTGNGCCCAGCCAGGGAACTTAACGGTACCTATATGACCTATTCTCCTGGTTAGTGTTTTCATACTCTCGTGTCAGGTCTTAGTTAGCTCACCATTAGTCTTCTTTTTCACCCACTGTCTGATTCGGCAAACATCGCGTGCCGTGGCAACCTATTTGGTGACATGCGTAATATATGTCCCACCCAGCATAAGCTATGGAGGTGTACCAACTGCTTCATTGGGAGATTGTGGTTACCTAAAACTGTACGCCTAACTTCAGCATTGCTTGTCCGGTTACTCCACCAGATTCGTGTTATGCTGCGTAGACAGCGGTGTTCAGACACCGATAGGTTATTTTTTATCTTGTTTTCTTAATGGCCAAGTTTCAGCGCCGTATAGCAGAACTGGTCGAACTGCCGCAGCGCACACTTGATCCTTCACAGACAATCGGATATCGCGACGGCGCCACAGATGTCTCAAGTTAGCAAATGCCAATCGAGCCTCTGGTATGCGTGCTGACACTTTATCCGTGATGCATCCATCGGGTGAGATATAGCTGGATAAATAACAAAACTTATCCACTTACTATATTACTTCCCAAGTTAGAGTGAGTCTGGGTGCTGGACCAACCCAGTCTTGTAGCAACATTTTACACTTTGAAGGTGCAAAACACATACCGAAAATGGCTACGCTGGCACTCAATCTACCGAGAAAAGCTTGCATTTATCTAGATCTTCACTTAGGAGTTTAATATTGTCTGCATATTCCAGGTCAGACAGTCTGCCATCTGGGAGCAACTCGATGCCGCTATCACCGGAAACATACTGCATACTGAACGACACACTCAGTCCAATGCATGACCTTTGAAGATTTCCGTGGCTTGGGACTTACTACACTTACCACCGACTGGACCTTTCTCGTGTATGATGTTTCTAGAGGTATTTCACGAGATAGGACATTTAAGATTGACCTAGATGTAATTTGTTATGAGGATAAGATAACACCGACCCCAGGGGACTCAGTCCTAAGGGCTACGTTAAATGATGCCCCCCTTTCGGTAGGTCAGTTTGAACTCAACACACTCAATAGGTACGGTCTACGGTCGTAAGACGTTGTGCCGTTGGTGCATCACACGCACTTTGAGTTCACATCCAAATTAAGAACCTTGATATTGGCACCATCCTTTGCGTCATCTCAGGTCTTTTGTTCATCGATTGAGCAGATCCATAACCGAAGAACAGTTAACAAAACCGGAGAATGGTTGGATCAGCTGCTTAACATGATTCATTCTATGGAATACAAAGTACCTGTTTGTCGTCGTTCTTCCTGGGAAAACAAAACCTTGTACACTTTTTTGTAAAAAAAAATAGATAGTACATGGGCTCCGAACCGCGGAAATCCCGTTCGACCTAGCATTCGATCCAAACAGGAAGGAATATAATGAATCGGCAGGCAGTAGTTACTATTATTCGAATTTTTGTTTGGCAGATTATGAAATTGTTCAAGAGCCTCGGTGGGATTCGAACCCACATATGGATGCCGCCTACGCTTTCGTATAGCGTACGCTCCACCAGCTGAGCTACACACCGACAGAGTATTGATCTTTTCACATTTGAATCACTGATCCAACTTACAGAAGCATATGGATGACATCCACTATGTAGCATGCAAGCTGACTATCACGATAGGTTTTCCTTAGAGTTCACCGGAGTCCACTGAATTAACTTCTAACTTTAGGTGAATTGTTCAAATTATTGTTTGGCGGCGTCCAAGCATGGGTTCGAATCCCATCGGGGCTACTGAACTTTTCACCTTAACCTTAAGTATTCACGATATGATCCGCATACTCAGTCATCCGTAGTCCACAGGATGATCATGATTCGAGTGAGTTAATGAGCAAGTATATGGATCCGAGTGGATAAAAGAAAGCCTTTATTAAAATGCATACCAGCTTGATGTCACGAATTCTGTTAAACGTGAGGCGAATTAGCTACAATTGGAGCAAGATTTATCCGCCATGTCCAGCGAAGTTTGAACGAAGAATCGGAGATCATTAGGTTTTCCGACAATTCATATGGGTTACTCCAGACGATATTAGGCCGTTCGTTGCGTCCTAGCCACTAAGGGGGTATCTCAGCTGACTCTATCTCTGTACTCCTAGCTCAGATGAAAGATGTCAGTCAAACAGTTG